TCATATTCCAAACAAATACCTGAATCTTTCTTAGAATAATCAGCCTGTTGTGCTCTATGTATCTCATTAAAAAATATCTTTCTTACTAAATTTTTGCTTCAAAAGTGTAATAACTTGTCCTGAAGAGATGCTGAATTTTTGCTTGAATAAGTATTCACTACCAATTTTAATTTCAAGGGGGTATCCATGTGATTTAAAAAGTTATGATTTTTTAAATGATTTTTTTAGAATAAATCTTGTGTTAAAAGCGTGACAATCATGATGCTGCAATACAAAACAGCGTGACCAACTCCATTATTGGCATTTTTTCACTCATCCCTATAGCTATTGTACAGGCAAGGAAATACTGAAAGAAAAATGGACATTTTAAGCCCTCAAAGCATAAGAAAACTTATCTAATCCAAAGAACAAGTTTTCTTTTTTTTGGGGGGGGGGGGGGGAGGGATAGTGGTGCATAAAATATTCATGTATTATTATAGAATGATTGACTAGCCGTCATTCGTGCAATGATATAGTCTGCAAATAACTGTTATCTTATAAATTTTAATTTTTTTCTGATTAATTTTCAGTTTAATTAGTATTAATAATTTAGATAACGTAGTTGAATTTTCTAGTGGGTGATCCCAACATGGTTCATCTGGCCTGTTTCTTATAATTAAGTCTGCTAGAACCTCTCTTTTTCATGACTCCTTTTTAATAGGTATCCCCAACTTGTGGAACGCTTTACCTATTAATATAAGACCTGAAGTAAACCTGGAATCCTTTAAGAAGAAACTGAAATCTTTTTTCTACGATAGGTATCCGATATTTTCAACTAAGATGACCTTTGTTTCAAGTTAATTTGTCCAAAGTGCTGCCGTCCCAATGCCTATTTAATTTGCTCATGTTAACTATAACTTACTTAATTTGTTTTTCATTTTTCTATCACTACGAGTGATGAATGTATGTATGAGTACTGTAAGTTTATGATATAACTCTTTTTGATTTGTAATAAGATAATTATTATTTGTGTGGTGGAGGGGTAAGATATTATTTGTGTGGTGGAGGGGTAAGATATCATTTGTGTGGTGGAGGGGGAAGATATTATTTGTGTGGTGGAGGGGTAGGATATTATTTGTGTGGTGGAGGGGTAAGATATTATTTGTGTGGTGGAGGGGTTCTGCTAATTATGATTAATCTGGCAGCTGCACTGAAACAGCTGTTCAGTCGCAGCTTGCAGAATTACTTTGCCGTGTAAATATAAGTATTTAATAATAGATAGGCTGTATATAAGTTGCTTCTCTATATATCTCAAATTCTACTTAGCTTATCAATTTAACTTAATTTACATTAATTTCTTGTAGGCAAAAATCTACATTTCTGTTTGATAGGTAATGAGCCTTTTTTCTAGCATGGGGTGTATCTGTGGGATGGGTTACTTATGTTATACGGGGCTGGGATGGGTGATTTACCACATAGAGGACTTAGTGTTCTTTTGTAAATTACCTCCCTCTGGCAAATCTTCAAATTAATTAATTAAATAAATAAATAAATATAGCAAATCTGATTCACTGAAAGACTAAAATCACAATAGTCCCCTTTACAGTTCCCAGCACCATCTTGAAAGGTAGCCGTGCCTTTTAATCGAAGTGAGAAGAACGGTTAACTTGCAATGATAGCTACATGTGATTAACTGACAAAGTGTTAAAAAGGTCTCTATCATTGAAAGCTCACTGTTTGTCTCACTTAGATGCAAAGGCACTGATACCTTTCAACATGGCATGGGGAACTGTGAAGGGGACTATTGGCAGCCTTTACACCAATAAGTTGCCATAGCAACCACAGTTTGAATATTGTCATGCTACATGTTTGGAATGCAAGTGCTGTAAAGTTTGAATAACATTCATCAAATATTCTGGAATCTATGTAGAAGGAAACTGTAAGTCATTAACCTCCTTATAGTACACTCAACAAAATTACTC